ACATCTTTAGATAAGAGAAATGCATAACCTATATTAACATTTTTGCATAGTAGTTTTTTTTTTTTTTTTAAAGATTTGTTTATTTGAAAGGCAGAGTTACAGAGAGAGAGAGAGAGAGAGAGAGAGAGAATCTTCTATCCACTGGTTCACTCTCCAAGTGGCCACAGCAGCTGGATTCCGGCTAGGCTGAAGCCAGAAACCTGGAACTCTAGCTGGGTCTTTCATGTGGGTCGAAGGGGCCCAAGCACTTCGACTTCCACTGCCTTCCCAGGCACAATAAAGGAAACTGGATTGGAAGCAGCCAGGACTCGAACCAGCACCCACATGGGATGCTGGAGTTGAAGGTGGCAGCTTAACCCACTGTGCCACAATTCTAGCTCTTGTATAGTCATTTTTTAGTCTGTGCCATACTGCTGACCACACAGGGGATTCTAGGTTGATTGATACCTGTCATTAGACATGGGGGCTGTGTTGTGTTATAGTTGTTTATCCCTATGAGTCTCTGTATCAACACCCTGCACAGTCTCTGTAGCAGAGTATATATTCAAAAGTTTTTTTGAAGTGATCTGTGGGGTCAGATATTATATCTGTCACAATTCTGTAATCTTATGTGATACCATGTAGAAACACAGTAGGCTTGACTGTATGGGTGTGGGTCATTTTTCTTTGGGTTAGGTCTTCAAGATGCTTTTTTATTTTATTTATTTATTTATTTATTTGACAAGCAGAGTGGACAGTGAGAGAGAGAGAAAGGTCTTCCTTTACCATTGGTTCACCCTCCAATGGCTGCTGTGGCCAGCGCACCGCGCTGATCCGAAGCTGGGAGCCATCCTCCACTGTACTTCTGGGCCACAGCAGAGAGCTGGCCTGGAAGAGGGGCAACCGGGACAGAATCCGGTGCCCCGACCGGGACTAGAACTTGGTGTGCCGGTGCCGCAGGTGGAGGATTAGCCTATTGAGCCGCGGCGCCGGCCAAGATGCTTTATATCACGTTTGGGTATATATTCTTGGAGGATTAAAATATTGTGGAGAAAGTAGCTCCTTCATTCCTTGATTTCTCCTTGTAGATCAGTTGGATTATTTAAATTCTGAATTGAATGATAGTTCCTTTAGGTTTAGTTAGCTTAAAATTTACCATGCTTTTATCTGTGAGCCAAGATTTGTTTGGCTCTTGGAACCCAAGACGTTAAATCTATTTTTAAACCAGTTTTATCAACAATTCTTGGCGTGGTAGTACATGTATTAATTACATATTCACATTTACTGCATGAAGTAATTCTTTTTTGTTTGACAGGCAGAGTTAGTGAGAGAGGGAGACATGTCTTCCTTCCATTGGTTTACCCCCCAAATGGCCACTACGGCTGGTGCACTGTGGCCAGTGCGCTGTGCTCATCCGAAGCCAGGAGCCAGGTGCTTCTCCTGGTCTCCCATGCGGGTGCAGGGTACAAGCACTTGGGCCATCCTCCACTGGCTTCCTGGGCCACAGCAGAGAGCTGGACTGGAAGAAGAGCAGCCGGGACAGAATCCGGCGCGCCCCAACTGGGACTAGAACCCAGTTGGTTCTGTGCCGGTGCCGCAGGCAGAGAATTAGCTTAGTAAGCCGCGGTGCCGGCTGCATAAAGTATTTCTGACTCAGCCACATACTTTGTTAGCTGTTAATATATGTACATGAACATTTTAAGAGTTAAGGCTTTTTTTTTTTTTTTTTAAAGATTTATTTGAGAGGCAGAGTTACAGAGAGGCAGAAGCAGAGAGAGAAGGAGAAGACATCCATCCACTTGTTCACTCCCCAAATGGCTGGAACAACTGGAGCTGAGCCCACCTGAAACGAGGAGCCAGCAGCTTTGTCTGGGTCTTCCACTTGGGTGTAGGGGCCCAAACACTTGGGCCATCTTCTACTGTTTTCCCAGGCCATAAGCAGAGAGCTGAATCAAGGGACTTGAACCAGCGCCCATGTGGGATGTCAGCGCTTCAGGAGGTGGCTTTACCCACAAATTAAGATTTTGATTTTGAGAAAAGTACAATATAGCTACGTTAAAGATAATTTAAGGATTATTAAAGATAATTCAAGGATTATTTACTTTAGATTGCCTGGGTATCCTATTGACTTTGTAATTAGGTTGTGATCTGAAATAGTATAATCAAATGTTTCCTTAATCTGCTAATGTAATTACTAGAGTAAAAGAGTTTGACAATATTTTGTCCATTTTAGGCTGTGTGGAGGAGACTTCTTAGGTATGCTATATTGCTTGTGTGAATTTTAAGTTTGTTGACCCTTAAAATTCAAGTGATTAGGGTCCGGTGTTGCGTCATGGCAGGTTAAGTTGTTGCCTATGATCCAGTGGCCCACATGAGCACAGTAGTTCAGTTCTCAGCTGTTCCACTTCCAATCCAGCTCCCTGTTAATGTGTCTTGGAAAGCAGCAGAAGATGGCCGAAGTGTTTGGGCCACTACTACCCATGTGGCAGACCTGCCTGGAGTTCCTGGCTACTGGCTTTGGCCTTGCCTGGCCTGGCCCTGGCCATTGTGGCCATTTGAGGAGTAAATGAGTTGATGGAAGATCTGTCTCTCTCTGCCGTGTCCCCACGTCCCCTGACTCTCTTCTTTCAAATAGTAAATCTTTCAAAAAAATTGAATAGGGCAGGGTTGTGGCACAGAAGGTTAAGCTACCTCCTCTGACACCAGCATTTCATACGGCCATCATTTCTATCCCTGTCTGATCCACTTCTGATCCAACTTCTTGCTAATGGGCCTGGAAAAGTAGTGGAAGATGGCCCAAGTGCTTGGACCCCCTGCATCCAGGTGGGAGACCTAGTTGAAGCTCCTGGCTCCTGGCTTCCATCTAACCATCCCATTTAGGGATAAATAAATAAATAAATCTTTACAAAAAGAAAACAAATTCAAGTGAGTAAAAGTGATGATATCCATTATAATATTAAGCAGGTTTGACTCCTTCTCCTGCAAACAAACCTGACTTTAGGGAACCTAAAAGTCTGTATTTCTTCTAGGTCATTTAACATTTAAAAAAAAAAAAAGAAATATGTGGGTACTTCAAAGTGTTCATGGAAAAATAGAAGTAAAAGAAAAGTTTTTATTTTGGTGCAAAAAAATTTCTGAAATCCATGCGTAGATTTTTCATAAAATGCTTTTTCTTTTAGCTTTTTAATGTCCCTTGATAAGCATGGATTTAAAAAATTCTTAGGCTGAAATACTTTTTTTTTTTTTTTTTTTTTTGACAGGCAGAGTGGACAGTGAGAGGGAGAGACAGAGAGAAAGGTCTTCCTTTGCCATTGGTTCACCCTCCAGTGACCGCCGCGGCCGGCGTGCTGCTGCCGGTGCGCTGCTGCCGGTGCGCTGCTGCTGGTGCGCTGCTGCCGGCGCACCTTGCTGATCCGAAGGCAGGAGCCGGGTACTTCTCCTGGTCTCCCATGGGGTGCAGGGCCCAAGCACTTGGGCCATCCTCCACTGCACTCCCTGGCCACAGCAGAGAGCTGGCCTGGAAGAGGGGCAACCGGGACAGAATCCGGTGCCCTGACCGGGACTAGAACCCGGTGTGCCGGTGCCGCAAGGCGGAGGATTAGCCTATTGAGCTGCAGCACCGGCCACTTATCTTTCAATTCCATTTCCATGAACATTTTGAAGTATCTTGTATTGCCTTGTCAGCTGATATTGAAAGGAAAAAGTAAATGAAGACTATTTTTAGAAAGCTCATTTATTACTTGAGCGTGCTGCATGTGTGAGCACGTATTCACAGGCCGAAGAAATTATTCTATGCAGTGTGGCTGTGCTGTCTTTGTGAGAGCGTCAGGTAATTGACCGAGTGTTGTTATTGTACTGATGTAATAATGTTAAATTTTCTGCTTCACTACCATGCATCAATAAAATATATCAGAAAAACAGAAACCTTTATAACTCTTCTGATAACTGAATTAGAGATTTGATAAGATAAAATGGAGGGGCCGGCACTGTGGCGAAGCAGGTAAAGCCTCTACCTGTATATGGACACCTGTTCAGGTCCAGGCTACTCCACTTTCTATCCAGCTCTCTGCTATGGCCTGGGAAAGCACTTGAAGATGGCCCTGGTCCTTGCTGCACTGCACCCATGTGGGAGACCCAGGAAAGCTCCTGGCTCCTGGCTTCCGATTGGCACAGCTCCAGCCATTGTGGCCATCTGGGGAGTGAACCAGCTGATGAAAGACTTCTCTTTCTCTCTCTCTCTGCCTCTCTTTCTCTCTCTGTGTAACTCTGACTTTCAAATAAATAAATAAATCTTCTTAAAAAAATAAAATAGAAATTCCACATTCTGATGTTTTATCATTTTGAAAGTACTTATAATAAACTACTCTACTGCATAACCTTAATTTTTCTCAGCGTCTAGACAGACCTTTTCAAAGCAGAGAGTTATTTCCACCGTCACACCCGGGGTTATGATCAAAGGTAACTTTAGTCAGACCTTAAGGTCCATGAATCCGTAGGTTTTTATTTTGCCCCTTGTTCTATAGAAGTTTCTCCGGCTTAAATTTTAACTAGTCTTCATAGTGATTTTAGAGAAGGTAGGTTTATTATATCCTCATATAAAAGTATGTTTTAATTTAGGCTCTCCTATGCAGTAGCTGCTGAAAAATCTGAGCATTGTCTTAGGCAATGGTTTTTATGGTGATTTCTTTGAAGATTCTTTGTATAGAAATATCTTGTAATACCTATTTATAGCTTCAGAAACTGACTCTTATTCTGAAGAGTATTCATTGCATTCTTTTTTACTTTGAATAATTAAGAAGTAAAGAAGTAACCTATAAAATGCTGTTAGGATTTGCTGCTCAACAAATGCCTACAAAGACAGACTTTTTTTTTTTTTACAATTTGTCTACCAACAGGACTGTAAAGTGAGCCTTATATTCCTAACTGTCATCTAATTTCTCAGTCTCAGTCCTACATGTTGAATAGTCTTAACTTTGTGTATGTCATCAGTGTCTCACACTTATTCTTTATGTTTTCAACAGGGGGAAATGCAGTGTTGCTCTTCTCAATGAGACAGAATCTGTGTTGTCATATCTTGATAAAGAGGTAATTCACAATCATAGTTGTTTTTTTTCCTGTATTTCATATGAAGCTCATACCTTTGCATTTACTTATTTTTTATACCAAAGTATTTTTATGCCTTATGGTAATATAGTAGTAAAAGTATACTGACTCAACTGTATTTCGATAATTTTATTTTTCTGGTTATCTGAGATAAGGCCTCTCTGTTTTTTAGTTGGTAATGAAAGACCTTATAGAGTATAACACATGATTTAGTTTCTGGTAGATACATATTTTTGACTGTATGAAATAATTAACTTACTGAACTCAATCCTTCTCTGACATTTTTTGGTTTGTAATTAAGTGGATTTATTTTTTGATTCTTTACAGATGAAATTTTACCATTGCTAGTCTGCTTTTCTTTCCTGGAATCCTAATAACTTTTGTCATTTATAAGTTTCTTTCATTAAATCTCAGTAAGAAGCTTGTTTATTTATTTATGTTTTAAAGATTTCTTTATTTATTTGAAAGTCCGAGTTACACAGAGAGAGGAGAAGCAGAGACAGAGAGAGGTCTTCCAGCTGATGGTTCACTCCCCAATTGGCCAATCCGAAGCCAGGAGCCAAGAGCTTCTTCTGGGTCTCCCACGCGGGTACAGGGGCCCAAGGACTTGGGCCATCTTCTACTGCTTTCCCAGGCCATACCCGAGAGCTGGATCAGAAGTGGAGCAGCCGGGTCTTGAACTGGTGTCCATATGGGATGCTGGCGCTTCAGGCCAGGGTGTTAACTAGCTGCGCCATAGCGCCGGCCCTAGGAGAAATTCTTAAAAACAGCATTCTACCTTATAAAATGTTTTAGGTGACCTTTAAAGCAATACCATTTGTATTGTGGGAATATTATTGTCAGTGATATTTCATTATTATTGTTTAAATATAATTCAAAGGCAGAGCAACAAAGAGAGAGAAAAAGAGGGAAAAAGAGAAATGCAGATCTTTTATTCACTGGTTCACTCCCCCAAATGGCTGCATCATCCAGGTCTAGACCAGACTGAAGCCAGGAGCCTTGAACTCGTTCCAGGTCTCCTACATTGGTAGCACTGGCCCAAGTGCTTGGACCCTCTTCTGCTGCCTTGATATGTTAGCAGGGAGCTGGATCAGAAGCAGAACATCTGGGACTTGAACTGCTGATTAAATATGGGATGCTTATGTTACAAGTGGCGGCTTAACCTGTTGTGCCATAGGTGTTTCAGTAATTCATCTTTATGGTTTTATATGTTTTTTCCCCTAAAATCTTTATTAGATATATGTAAGGTTTTTATTTGGAAAAAAAAGAATCGGAGCATACTTCATTAAAAGGTTTTTCTTCCTATACTCAAAAGTATTATCTGCTTATCAAAACGAATAAAACTGGGGCCAGTGCTGTGGTGTAATGGATAAAGCCACCGCCTGCAATGCCGGCATCCCATATAGGCGCCGGTTCAAGTCCTGGCTGCTTCACTTCCAATTCAGCTTTCTGCTGTGGCCTGGGAAAGCAGTGGAAGATGGCCCAAGTCCTTGGGCCCCTGCACTCATTTGGGAAGACCCCAGGATGCTCCTGGCTCCTGGGTTCAGATCGGCACAGCTTCGGCCGTTGTGGCCAACTGGGGAGTGAACCAGTGGTTAGAAGACCTCTCTCTCTCTCTCTGTCTCTCTTTTTTTGTGTAACTTTGACTTTCAAATAAATAAACTTTTTTTAAAAAAGTTTTATTGTTTAATTTTTTTCTCCTGACAGTAATCTATCATTACAATACAGCACAGGATTTCTCAATGGATAGGAAAAGTTTCTTTTTTCCCCTCTGGTTCTCCTTATCACAGTCTTTAAGAGGGGAGAACATTACAGCTTGACAGATTTTCTTTATTTGCAGCTGACTCATCTGTGTCTTGGTGAAGTCTCCTTCCAGAATATAATACAGATTGTTGTGTAGTTCATCTACTAAATTGTAGTGGGAAGCAGAAGCAAGGTTCTTGCTGGTTTAGATCACCTGCAAGTGGTTATGTAGAATTCAGCAAAATCTAATTTGAAAGGCAGAATGACAGAAAGGGAGAGGCGAGAGAGCAGAAGATAAATGAGAAAGGGGAGAGGGAGAGCACTCCCCAAATGCCCACAACTGCGGGGGCTGGGCCAGGCCAAAGCCAGCATCCAGGAACTCCCACAAGGTTGGCAGGGACCCAAGAACTTGGGCTATCTGCTGCTGCTTTCCCAGGTGCACTGGCAGAATGCTGGGTCAGTAGTAGAGCAGCCAGGGAACTGGCACTCTGATAGAGGATTTAGTCATCCCTAGTAGTGGCTCAGCCCACTGTGCCCTAATGCATGTGCTGTTGCTGCTGCTGGTACAAATGGTTATGTTTGTACACCTGCTTCTGTACACATATGCTTCAGAATTCAAAGCACTGCAGAATTATAATTAATAAATATTCAATTAGATATTTCCAAACATAGTAACATGCATGTAAGTTCAACTCTTGTGTATGTGCCTTTTAATATTTTGATTAAAATGTGGATGAACACTCCAAAAGTAAGACTGCCTGGCATCCATTCGGCACAGCTATTGTTGCATGTGGACTTTACAAGTTTAGAAGATTACTAGAGAGGCCAGTGCTGTGACGTAGCAGGTTAAGTAATCACCTGCAGTGCTGGCACCGCTGTGGGCACTGGTTTGAGTCCTCGCTGCTCTCCTTCTGATCTAGCTCCCTGCTAATGTGCCTGGGAAAGCAGAAGATGATGGCCCAAATGCTTGGGCCCCTGCATCCACATGGGAGACCTGAATGAAGCTCCTGGCTCCTTGCTTTGTCCTGGCTCAGCCCCGGCTGTTGGGGCCTTTTGGGGAGTGAACCAGCAGATGGAAGATCTCTTTCTCTTTCTCTCTCTAACCTTGTCTTTCAAATAAGTAAATAAATCTTTAAAAAAAGGCAGAGTACTTGAAGTGCTGTATCTTTTAGTTATGATTTAACTTTGCTAGTTTTTCAAAACTTTATTTAAAAGAAGTTTGTTTTCTTTTACCTTAAAACAAATATTCAAGCTTGATAATCCATTTTAAGCTATTTCTTTTAGCCTGATGCACGTTCACATTCTTTGACACAATGGCAGTAATACCATGCTCCCCTTAATTTATTAATTCATTCACCAAAATGAAGTTGTATGTATCTCTATGGTTTTGTTTTCATGTATAGCATTGATTTCTTTTCTTTATAAAAAATGGGGAAAATGAAGGTTACTTAGGTATTTTTTATTATTCCTTTCAGGATACCTTTTTCTACTCATTGGTCTATGATCCCTCAGTGAAAACACTGTTAGCTGACAAAGGTGAAATCAGAGTGGGACCCAGATACCAAGCAGACATTCCAGAAATGCTCTTAGAAGGTATGTTTTTCTTCAGATTTCAGGTCCTTTGAAAACAGGGACACCGTGAAACTCAAGTATTGTAGTCTTCATGTGGAAGAAGCAACTTTCAGGAAGCTATATAAAAAGCCCTTCCAGTTTTAGAAATAAGACATCGCACTGTATCCACAGGGGGTTAGGCTCCAGGATCCCCCAGGATACCAAAATCTGCACATGCTCAAGTCCCTTTTATAAAATGGCATAGTAATTTTGGATAGCCTACATATAACCTCCTTATACTTCACGGCATCTCTAGATTACTTATAAAACCCAATACCTTGTAAATACTATGTGACCAGTTGTTACACTGTGATGTTTAGGGAATAGTGACAAAATCTGTAAAGGTTCTGTAGTGACAATTTCTTTTCTTTGTATTTTTGTTTTTAATTTATTTGAGAGACAGAGTTGAGAGCAAGAGGGAGATGGAGATAGAGAAGCCCCCAGTCTGCTAGTTCACTCTCCGTATTTCCACAACAGCTGGGGCTGTGCTCAGTTAGGGACCAAGAACTCAGTCTATGCCTTTGTATCTGGTTGAGCTATTAACCTGCTACTCTAGGGTCTGTATTAGCTAGAAGCTAGAATTAGGAGCAGGTGCCCAGAACTAAACCCATGCACTCTAGAATGGGACATAGACCCCTCCAGATAGTTCTACTCTCTACTTGGTTGAATCTGCTATTGCAGAACTTTCTGCTATATGTGTCTAACTCTATAACAAATAATAATGAAAAATAATATATTCAATTACTTAGTCCTTTGTGACTTCACTTTTATAGGCTTTTTATGGCTCTTGTTTTTTTTTTTCTTTGTGAAAATTTTTTATTTGAGAGGCAGAGAGAAAGAGACACACACACAACCAGAAAGAGAAAGAGAACTTTCTACAGGCTCAGTCTCCACATGCCTACAACAGGTGCCAAGCCAAAGTTAGGAGCCAGGAGCCCAATCCATGTTTCCACTGTGGATGGTAGGAACCCAGTTACTTGAGCCATCACTGTTGTCTGCCATGGTCTGCATTAGCAGGAAGCTAGATTTGGAAGCCACAGCCAGATTTCAGTTGAACCTAGGCACTCCAGTGTGGCATGCGAGCATCTTAACCTGTTTTTTTTTTTTTTTTTTTTTTTTTTTTAAGATTTTGTTTGAGAGGTAGGGTTACAGACAGAAAGAGGGAGAAACAGAAAGGTCTTCCGTCCTCTGATTCACTCCCCAAATGGCCAAAAGGGCTGGAGCTGACCAGTCTGAAGCCAGGAGCCAGGAGTTCTTCCGGTCTCCTGCGTGGGTGCGGGGCCCTATACATTTGGGCCATCTTTCACTTCTTTCCCAGGCCAAAAATAGAAAGAGCGGGATCAGAAGTGGAGCATCCAGGACTGAGGACTTGAACCGGCGCCCATATGGAATGCCGGCGCTGCAGGGGAAGGCTTAACCTACTATGCCACAGCGTCAGCCCTCCCACATTATGTTTTTTAAAGATATATTTATTTATTTGAAAGGCAGAGTTACAGAGAGGCAGAGGCAAAGAGAGAGAGAGGTCTTCCATCCTCTGCTTCACTTCCCAGAAGGCTACAATCACCGGTGCTGCGCCGATCCAAAGAGAAGAGCCAGGAGCTTCTTTCAGGTCTCCATGTGGGTGCAGGGGCCCAAGGGCTTGCACCATCTTCCACTGCTTTCCCAGGCTATAACAGAGAGCTGGATCAAAAGTGGAGCAGCTGGGACACGAACTGGTGCCCATATGGATTGCCGGCAGTGTAGGCAGTAGCCTTACTCACTACGCCACAGCACCAGCCACAGCACAATATTAAAATATAAAAATGAAGTTGTTTCTGGTGAAGCTGGGAGGAGGCACTCTTCCCCCTCTTGTGGGCATCTTAAGGCATCTTGTTTATCCCAAAGGGATTAGAGGTTGAATGCCCTTGGTGTGTTCCCTGCCCCTCTTACATTCATGTCCTTCATTACAGTCAAAATCTCCAAATAACTCGGCAGTTAGACATGCTTATAATGATTTCTTATAGCACAATGAAGGGACTTCTGTGTATTCTGTTTGTTTTTCTAATTTTTAATTTTAACATTTATTTTGTGGTAGATAGCACAAAATATCATATAGAAAATGCAGTTCTCTCTCAGGTCGCCCCTCTTTGATCACTGCTAGCCAGCATTATTAACGTAATGCTCTTTTAGACTGGTACAGCAGGATAGTGATCTGTGAGTCCACACTCCGGGCAGTGTTCTATTGTGGGGCAGTCCAGCTTTATTTATCTAAGCTTTATGGTAGGCCATGTTTTCCCTCATTATTATTTTTTTTTCTTTTTTTTTTTAAATTTTTTTGACAGGCAGAGTGGACAGTGAGAGAGAGAGACAGAGAGAAAGGTCTTCCTTTGCCATTGGTTCACCCTCCAATGGCTCCACTATGCTCCACTTCTGATCCAGCTCCCTGCTAGCGGGCTAGAAAAAGCAGTGGAAGATGATCCAAGTCTTTGTGCCCCTGCCACCCACATGGGAGAATGGAGAAGCTCTTGGCTGCTAGCTCCTGGCTTCTGTCTGGCCCAGTGCTGGCTGTTGTGGCCATCTGGGAAGTGAAACAGTGGGTCAGAGATCTCTCCCTCTCTCCCTCTTGTCTGTCTGTCCCTCTGTCTCTCTGTAACACTTAACTTTCAAATAAATGAATAAATTTTTTTTTAAATTTTAATTTATTTCTGACAGGCAGAGTGGACAGTGAGAGAGAGAGACAGAGAGAAAGGTCTTCCTTTTGCCGTTGGTTCACCCTCCAATGGCCGCCGCGGCAGGTGCGCTGCGGCCGGCGCACCGCGCTGATCCGATGGCAGGAGCCAGGTACTTATCCTGGTCTCCCATGGGTGCAGGGCCCAAGCACTTGGGCCATCCTCCACTGCACTCCCTGGCCACAGCAGAGAGCTGGCCTGGAAGAGGGGCACCCGGGACAGAATCCAGCATCCCGATCGGGACTAGAACCCGGTGTGCTGGCGCTGCTAGGTGGAGGATTAGCCTAGTGAGCCGCGGCACCAGCAAATAAATTTTTTTAAAGAGATAGAGATGGATCTTCCGTCTGCCAATTCACTCCCCAAATGGCTGCAATGGTCAGGGCTGGAGCAGGCCAAAGCCAGGAGCTAGGAGCTTCTTCTAGGTCACCCATGTGGGTGGCAGGGGCCCAAGGACTTGGGCCATCTTCCACTGTTTTCCCGGGCACGTTAGCAGGGAGCTGGATCAGAAGTAGAGCAGCCAGCACTTGAACCGGTGCCCATACGCGATGCCAGTACTGTAGGCATAGGCGTAACCTGCAAAGCCACAGTACTGGCCCTGCTGAATAAACCTTAAATTAAAAAAAAAAAAAAAATTATCCTTCCAAGCCTTTAGATCTCTCTGTTCTAGCACTAGCTCTGCTGTGTTTCTTTCTGTAGGGGATAGCTACCTGCCTTTGAACAAATCTCCAAACTGAGGCAATTGCAGGTGGTGTGCTGATTCTGTGCCTCCATCAGTGTGTTGTCAGTTACTGCAAGACGTGCTGCCTGCTGTTAAAGATGCAGTGATCGAAAGCAAAACACGGCCCAGACCAGTCCCTCTTGACCAAGAGCGTCTAGCCTAGGAGTCTGTAGCTGTACATCAAACTTCATTTGGCTCCCAAGTCTGTTTCCACTTAAATCCAATCTTGCTGTCCACTTAAATCCTGTCTTGCCTGATGGTTGTATCTTCTTGTGAGATATCCTAAAACAAAGCTGCCTGCATTATTGTTAGCCTGTCCCTTAGCCCTCCCCTCCTGTTCTGTGTTTATGCCAGTGCTCTTCTGTACGGCTCAGAAGACTTAAAATTGACACTGTACATCCAGTCTGCCCCTGGCATTCCTAAATCTTCTCTTCTCTCTATATTTCACCCTCAACACCATCTTTCAGCCCCTCATTACTTCCAGGTGGGACTTTTAGAGGAGTTTGATTTATCTGTCTTTATCAGATATCTCTGCAGAGCAAATTATATACCATTGCTAAATATGAAATTTCATGTTTTGGTTCTGGTCTTATCATTCCATTACCCAAAATGCCAGGGCTTTCTCATTACCTCAAAATAAAATTTGTTCAGGAAATTTGCACAGAATCTTCAGTAATAAGTTCCTAATCCACTACTCAGAGCTCCCTGCTTTCATTCCTGTTAAAAAATGAGCTTTTGTTTCTTATCATCGCATTTTTTTGCCTCATGACTTTGTTCATGTTCTTATTTCTTTTTGTTGAGTCCTCTGCCCTGCCAGTGTATTCCTGTCCTTCAGTCTTAGCAAAAATGTGCCTTCTTTCATGTCACCATTTCCCAGCTAGCCTGAAATGATTCCTCTACCCTTCAGATTCTTACAGCCGTGTCTGCAGCTGATGATACATCTCCTCCTTTGTTTGTAACATGGTATTCATGTACAAGTTTCATCACAGTTTCACTGTCTGCAGCAGGCGTGCTTTCGTTTTCATCTTTACGTCCCCAAGTGTGGTGCTTAGTCACGTATTGAGGTTCTCAGGAGATTCACAGTGATGATGGTCCCATACAGTTGGTTTACCATATTGTCATCAGTATGCACTTGACAAGGCGCTGTCCATCTGTGATACAAAAGAACTGACCAAAACCATGAGCATTTACCTTACATTTAACAACTACAGGTGACGGGGTATTGTGTAACATGACTCCTTTTCTTTTGTTGGGCAGGAGAATCAGATGAGAGGGAACAGTCAAAACTGGAAGTTAAAGTTTGGGATCCAAATAGCCCACTTACGGATCGACAGATTGACCAGTTTTTAGTTGTAGCACGGTGAGTATGGCACTTGTGAGTCAAGGAACATCTTTTCTTTTAAAGAATTTAGAAATATGTATATTTTCTTTGTATCCCACTTCTTTGCCTTTGGTGGTATTATTATCCTAGTTAGAAAGCTTGATATATGTCCCACGCCTTCCTAAATAATGCAACTTACTGACAATAATTTCTGTTGTAAATGAAAATATGTCTATTAATTTTCACTAAGAAAACAGGAGGATATAAAGAATATATAACACCTGAAGATCGGCATCTTTAATGAAAGCAGCAAAAATTTTTTTTAAAGATTTATTTATTTACTTGAAAGAGTTACACAGAGAGAGAAGGAGAGAGAGAGGGAGGGAGGGAGGGAGAGATCTTCCATCCACTGGTTCACTCCCCAGATGACTGCAATGGCTGGAGCTGCACTGAACTGGAACCAGGAATCAGGAGCTTCTTCCAGGTCTCCAAGGTGGGTGCAGGGGCCCAAGGAGTTGAGCCATCTTCTATTGCTTTCCCAGGCCATAGCAGAGAGCTGAATCAGAAGTGGAGCAGCCCAGACTCGAACCAGTGCCCTTATGGGATGCCAGCACTGCAGGCGGCAGCTTTACCCATTATACCACAGTGCGGCCCCAGCAGTAAAATCTTTAGCTATAGATGTGGATTATTCAGGTGTCAGTAAGAGTTTGCAACTTGAGTCCTTTTATCACATACATGTGTGAGTGAGGCCCATTGCTAAGAAGAGGATTTCTTTCAGAGATTTTAGCCTGGCTGCCAGGCTTTCTCACTCCCTTTCCTTTTCTCTTGAGAAAATGAATGGGGCAGAATTTTATCTTTATTTTTTCAATTATAAATGTAAATGATGCTCATGAGAAAAGTTGTCATAAAGCAAAATGTAAATGAGACTATCATAGCATTATAATTAGTGGAAAAGTTGGAAAAAAACTGAAAAGGCATCTGCAAGCCATTGATGAATGGAGGTGTGTTTATATAATGGGATATGACTTTACTGCAGTTAAACGAATGACAACTATCTGTGACAGAGATAAATCTAAATGAGCATGCATACAGAATGATCATTTATGTGCATATACTTGTAATCATGAAAAATTTTTCAGTATACAAAAGAATGTTATAGTTTCATTTTTGTATATAGTAAATATATATAGTTCTGTTAATCTAACCAAATATATAACATATATTTTCTTTCTTTTTTTAATTTTTATTTGATAGGTAGAGTTATAGACAGTGAGAGAGAGAGAGACAGAGAGAAAGGTCTTCCTTCCGTTGGTTTAGCCCCCAAATGGCTGCTATGGTCGGTGCTGCGCTGATCCGAAGCCAGGAGCCAGGTGCCTCCTCCTGGTCTCCCATGTGGGTGCAGGGGCCCAAGCACTTGGGCCATCCTTCAGTGCCTTCCCGGGCCACAGCAGAGAGCTAGACTGGAAGAAGAGCTACTGGGACTAGAACCCGGCGCCCATATGGGATGCCGGCGCCACAGGAGGAGGATTAACCAAGTGAGCCACGGCGCTGGCTCCTAACATATATTTTCGTAAAAGAAGAACCAGGGTCTGGCGTTGTGGTACAGCTGTTAAGCTGTCAGTTGCGATGCCTGCATCCCATATCCGGGTGCCAGTTTGAGACCCAACTACTCAGCTTCCTGCCAAAGTGCCTGCGAATGAGCAGATGATAGCTTAAGTCTTAGTGTGCGTCTCTGCTACCCATGTGGAAAGTCAGGAGGAAATCCTGGCTTCTGGCTTTGGGATGGCCCAGACCTGGCTGTTGGCAGCCATTTGGGGAGTGAGCTAGTGGATAGATGATCTCTGTCTGTCTGCCTTTCAAACAATCTTTTTTTAATAATGGACCAAACAAGGGGCCGGCGTTGTGGCGCAGCGGATTAAAGCCCCAGCTTGCAGCGCCGGCATCCCATTTGGGCTCCGATTCAAGTTCCGGCTGCTCCTCTTCTGATTCAGCTCTCTGCTATGGCCTGGGAGAGCAGTAGAAGAAGGCCCAACTCCTTGGGCCCCTGCACCTGTGTGGGAGACCTGAAAGAAGCTCCTGGCTCCTGGCTTCTGATCAGCTCAGCTCTGGTTGTTGCGGTCATTTGGGGAGTGAACCAGCAGAATGGAAGACCTCTCTCTCTCTCTCTCTCTCTCTGGCTCTACTTCTCTCTGTAACTCCTTTGTCTTTCAAATAAATAAAATAATTCTTGCAAAAGAACCTTTTTTTTTTTTGACAGGCAGAGTGGACAGTGAGAGAGAGAGACAGAGAAAGGTCTTCCTTTACCATTCGTTCACCCTCCAATGGCCACTGTGGCTGGCGCGCTGCAGCTGGCGCACCACACTGATCCGAAGCTGGGAGCCAGGTGCTTCTCCTGGTCTCCCATGGGGTGCAGGGCCCAAGCACTTGGGCCATCCTCCGCTGAACTTACGGGCCACAGCAGAGAGCTGGCCTGGAAAAGGGGCAACCGGGACAGAATCAGGCGCCCCAACCGGGATTAGAACCTGGTGTGCCGGCGCTGCAAGGCGGAGGATTAACCTATTGAGCCGCGGCGCTGGCCGCAAAAAAAACTTTTTAAAAAATGGAACAAACATGATAAAATATTATAATCAAGTAGATGTAAGGATTCATTATTTTATTCTCTGCTTATCTGTTGAACTTTATTTATAATACAAAGGAAAAAGTAATTAGAACCCATCCATAAGCATCACTCTTCATGGAACCAGTCACCATGAAAGGTCACCATTTTATTGGTGACCAGGCATTGGGAGTCCAGAGCCCACACTCCAAGCACTGATTGATAGGATTAAGATGCTTGATTGATGATACGTTGTTGGGAAGGAACCAGTCGGTGGAGTAGAGGGGTGAAAATGAAAGTCGGATGGGGCTCACTGGAACAGAAGCTCCAGAAAGGTTATCAGAACTGTGGGTTATCTAGAAGATTTTTCAGTTTTCAGATGTGATTTGGATTCTGTTTTGTCTTTTCCCAATCACCATGGGTTGTATATTTTCCTTTCCTTGGAAGACAGCATCAGGGGCACTGAGGAGTAGTATCTACTATCTTTTTTTCCCCCAGAATTTGTTTTAAAAATTACTCATCTGCTTTTTTTGTTTTATTTTTAAGATTTATTTGAAAGGCTGAATTACACAGAAAGGGAGGGATGGAGAGAGAAAGAGGTCTTCAACCCGCTGGTTCACTCTAAATGGTCACAGAGGCAGGCTGGGTCAGGCTGAAGCCCAGCACTCATATCGATGCTGGTGTCATAGGGCTTAACCCACTGTGCCACAATGCCAGCCTTCAAAAATTAGTCTCCTAAATACAAATTAAGGCCACAATTGTATACTATTGGCTAGAATAGTTAAAAATTTATAAAGACCATGCATTAGTGAAGATGTGGAGCAGCTCATACCCAGCTGATAGGAGTACAGATTGGTACAGATGCTTTTGAAGGTTGTATGCTTTCATCTAACCCTGCCATCCCTGTGTCTCACACTTCAGTATGTACCCAGCTGAAATGCATACACCACTGCACCAAAGGATACATACACAAATGGCATTAGCAGTATCATTCTGATTGGCTCCAGACTGGAAACAACACTGAATGTTCATCAACAATGGAGTGGTGCTAGGTGGGGAATCATGCAAAGGAATGCTGTGTAACAGGGTGAATCAAGGCCCACTGCTGGAGTCAGCAACATGGACAAAGCCACAAACTTAATTTTGAACAAAAGAAGCTGTATATAAGAAATTGTCCATACTGTGTGATTCTCTGAGAAAAACTAGGCTATGGTGTTAGAATCCAGGAGGGTGGTAGTTCTCTTAGGGAAGGAGGGCAGGAGTAGTAATTGGGAAGGTATATTAGGAACCTTTCTGGGTGCTGGTCATGGTCTGTTTCTTGACCCAGCTGTTGGTGATCTGGGTGTGTTCTCTTTGTGGTAACTAAATGGCTGTACAGTCTATACTTTCATGCTCATGTGTTATATTTTAATTAAAATGTTTTTAAAAAAATCTCTTTTGAGAATGTATGGTTAGCTTTGTGGTTAGGATATTCATGTTCCACATTGGAGTGGCTGGGTTCAATTCTCAGCTCCAGTTCCAGTCTCCAGCTTCCTGCTACTGCATACTCTGGGAGGCAGCAGCTGGTGTTCAAGTAATTAGATTCCTACCACTGACACAGGAGACCTGGATTGAGTTCCTGGCTCCTGACTGTTGCAGCCATTTGGAGAGTGAACCAGCAGGTAGGAACTCATTGCCTCTTTTTTTCTCTTTGCCTTTTAATAAAGACATTAATTTAAAAATACATAAATTCTCTTCTTCAGCTAACATTTTTTTTGAAGATTTATTTATTTATTTGAAAGTTAGAGTTACACAGAGCGAGGAGAGGCAGAGGCAGAGAGAGAGAGGTCTTCATCCGCTGGTTCACTCCCTAATTGGCGGCAACGGCCGGAGCTGGGCTGATCTGAAGCCAGGAGCAAGGAGCTTCTTCTGGGTCTCCCACATGGGTGCAGGGGCCCAAGGACCCTGGGCCATCTTCTGCTGCTCTCCCAGGGCATAACAGAGAGCTGGATTGGAAGTGGAACAGCCAGAACTTGAACCGGCATCCATGTAGGATGCCGGCACTGCACGCAGCAGCTTTTACCTGCTACACCACAGCACTGGCTCCAGCTAACATGTTTAAAATGCAGGCACTACACAGTCAAGTTGCACTTTCGTTTCATGCGAGAGAAATCTGTCTTCTGCCTGCTGGTTCATTCTTCAAAATCTGGAGCAGCCAGTAATGGGCTAAGCTGATACCAGAGCCTGGAACTCCATCCAGGTCTTCCATGTAGGTGGTAGGAACCTAAGTACTTGGGCCATTCATCTGCTGCCTCCTAGGTACATTAGTAGGAAGCTGGTTTGGACCCAGGGGCAGGACTCAATCCCAGGCACTCCGATATGTGATGTGGGCATCCCAAGCAGTGGCTTAACCCACTGTGCCACAGTGCCCACTCAACATTTTCTATTTAGATGAGAGATTTTTCCATATAGGGAAGCCTTCTAAGTCATTAAGTAAAAATCAGCTTTGTGGTAATTTTTTAATGAGATTTAGTAGAAATTATTATATTGAGTGCTTCACAGGATGGGGTTGCCATAATGAGATCTCATTTCACAGAAAGAAATGTTAGTAAGGTTTCATAATTTGGACTAAAAGAGTGGTCAGAACTTACTTTGCAACAATAGTCTAATTGTGCAGTTGATTTGCATCTCGTTTTTTGAGCAAATTTGAATACCAGAGAGTTTAATCCATGGTATTTTATGATCCTTTTTTGTTATGTCCATATTGGCTATTTTGTTTTCTCTTGATTTAATTATTTCTTCTTCTTCTTCTTCTTTTTTTTTTTTTGACAGGCAGAGTGGACAGTGAGAGAGACAGAGAGAAAGGTCTTCCTTTTGCCGTTGGTTCACCCTCCAATGGCCGCCACGGCTGGCGCGCTGCGCTGATCCGATGGCAGGAGCCAGGTACTTCTCCTGGTCTCCCATGGGGTGCAGGGCCCAAGCACTTGGGCCATCCTCCACTGTACTCCCTGGCCACAGCAGAGAGCTGGCCTGGAAAAGGGGCAACCAGGACAGAATCTGGCGCCCCGACCGGGACTAGAACCCAGTGTGCCGGCGCCACAAGGCGGAGAATTAGCCTAGTGAGCCACGGCGCCGGCCTCCTCTTGATTTAATTATAATGACCATAGAGTAGACCTTTGGCATAGTGGTTGAAAGAGCATTTGGGACATTCGTATCCCATATTGCAGTACCTGGGTTCAAGTCCCAGCTCCACCTCTGATTCCAGCTTCCTGCTAATGTGCTCCCTGAGAGGCAGCACTTGATGGCTCAAGTACTTGTGTTCCTGCTACCTACAGGGGAGACCCAGATTGAGTTCTGGGTTCCTGGCTTCAGCCTGTCCAGTCCCAGCATTAGTGTGCATTTGGGAAGTGAGCCAGCAGATGGAAGATCTCTGTCTCCATCTCTGCATTTCAATAAAAGAAATAATAATTAGAAATAATTTTTTAAAGTATTAAAATTTATACTGAACCATATATGGGTTGTCTTCTTACTTGTTAAATCTTACAGAAGGCCAGCGCCGTGGCTCACTTGGCTAATCTTCCGCCTGTGGTGCCAGCACCCCAGGTTCTAGTCCTGGTTGGGGCGCCGGTTCTTTCCCGGTTGCTCCTCTTCCAGTCCAGCTCTCTGCTGTGGCCCAGGAAGGCAGTGGAGGATGGCCCACATGGGAGACCAGAAGGAAGTACCCGGCTCCTGGCTTCGGATCATCACAGCACCGGCTGTAGCGGCCATTAGGGGAGTGTACCAACGGAAGGAAGACCTTTCTTTTCTCTCTGTCTCTCTCTCACTGTCTATAACTCTCTCTCTGTCTTTCTCTCTCACTGTCTAACTCTGCCTGGCAAAAAAACAAAAAACAAACAAACAAAAAAACTTAAAGAAATAAAAACACTTTTTATTTGATATTTCACTCTCAGCCCTCCAACAATTTTTTTGCCTTTTCTTTAATGATTTTTCATTTGTTGTCCAAATGTGTTTTAATTTTCCGTTTTGTGTTTGTGGCTTGCTCAGGGCCGTTGGGACATTTGCTCGAGCCCTTGATTGCAGCAGTTCCGTGCGGCAACCCAGTTTGCACATGAGTGCTGCCGCAGCTTCGCGAGACATCACCTTGGTAAGATGCCTTCTGCAATTTCGGAGTTGTTTATGCTTTTGCTGCTTATTTAATTATAAAGCCATTATAGCAGTATTGTAGCTCTCTGGCTCTTAGCCCTGCTGGTAGGTAGGTTGATTTGGTTAGTTGGCTGCCTGAATTTCTTAGTTACCCCATCTGTTTGTGAGTTGAGATAGGTAAAAATGACTGTTCCATGAAGCAGATAGGAAACACATTGTGGGACACAGTTCACCATTCCAACATCTCTCTTCACTTTCGTGCCTTTTTTCTGTATTCTGTCTATGTACTTAACTTGCTTGTAGATCATCTATAATGTTTTACAGTTTTTTTTTTTTTTTATGTGAAAGCAATGATTTCTTGAAACTGTTGATGGAGGAGTTACTCTGTTGTCGGGTTATTATTCAGTATGGATATTTAAAGTTTTTGTGTCTTTTCACTAGAAAAAGATTCTGTTTTTCTATTTCATATACATTATATTTGCTATCTTCTACATTTACTTCCTTGTTTTCTGTTGGTAATCAAGTGAAATTTCCCATTTTCAGTGTAATTATACATTAATGCTCCTTAAGGCTGGGTATTGGTTTTGGCATGTTCTTCTCACTGTTTTTGATCCCCCAGCCCTGTGTGGTAGGCATGGTAGGGTATGCTGATTTTACAGTTGAGAAAACGGAGGCTTGATGAGCTTATTTGACCAATACCTATTACATACAACACAAGTTTCAGTTTTGCTTTCTGATGGAATGGAATATGATGATAGGTTATATCACTTTCTCATGTATACTAGTTTGAAATGCTTTCCAGGAAACGTTCATTGTGATATGTAGCAAAACATACTGAAATGAATTTCAGATTAGTTCCTTATGCTGCCTGTGTATTTTTGTGTATTTATGAATTGTGATGAAGGCATAAGTGGTCTGCAGCTATTATGGAGCCCTTTTCTTTATCCTTTCTCAAACACTAGGATGTTATTGATAGAAGAAAGTTTTTCTCTTGATTGGTACGTTCATATTTTATGTAAAAGTTTAGGAGTATTTTTGGTTGTTTAAAACTCGGAGAGTATTTTACCATAGAAACAAGGGTACAGATACCATTTGTCAGGATTTTCAAAGCCAGGTATTTATGTGACACAAAACCACCTGGAATCCAATCTAATCATCTCTTGTATACATTTTTTCCTGTTCAAACAGATTTCTACCAATTTTACAAATAATGTATACTTAAAATGAAAAATTGAAATAGTATTGCAGACAAATGAAAAAGCCTTGTTCTTTTTTTTTTTTTTTTTTTCTTCTACAGGCAGAGTGGACAGTGAGAGCGAGAGACAGAGAGAAAGGTCTTCCTTTTGCCGTTGGTTCACCCTCCAATGGCCACCGCGGCCGGCGCGCTGCGGCCGGCGCACCGCGCTGATCCGATGGCAGGAGCCAGGAGCCAGGTGCTTTTCCTGGTCTCCCATGGGGTGCAGGGCCCAAGCACCTGGGCCATCCTCCACTGCACTCCCTGGCCACATCAGAGGGCTGGCCTGGAAGAGGGGCAACCGGGACAGAATCCGGCGCCCCAAACGGGACTAGAACCCGGTGTGCCGGCGCCGCTAGGCGGAGGATTAGCCTAGTGAGCCGCGGCGCCGGCCAAAAGCCTTGTTCTTATTACTCAAGGTAAACTTCCTTATCCTTTCATAAGGTTTCCTTTCAGTCTGTTTTTGTGCATAATAAACAACAATAATAGCAAATTACAGAGAAATTCAGAGGCTAATGTAATAAAATTATACATACTGTCACCTCAGGCAATGTTAAAATTTCCATTTTTCAATTAAAAAATTTGCGATTATAGTTAATGTTGTAGTCCTTAATATTTTCTTCCAAATCTTTTTCCCATTTTTCCATCTGTGCCTCCCACCTCCATGACCCCTGTCTCATCATTGGCCTGTTGAGATCAAGTCATGTTGATAAATGCATACTCATTTTGTTCATTTTAAGTGCTTTGGTATTAGTATATTTTTTCATATGATACTATACCACCTTATTTGTGTATTCTGTTGCTGGTGAATAACTGGAGTTCTTTCAAAACATTTTTCTGTGGCTACCCATAATGCTGACTTGGAAATTCACATGTGGATCCTTTTATGAGCATGCCTGTGAGTTTCTAGGGTTTTTTAAAAATTTTATTTTATTTATTTATTTGAAAGACAGAGTTACAGAGAGAGGTAGAGACAAAGAGAGAAAGGTCTCCCGTCCACTGGTTCACCTCCCCCCCCAGGTGGCTGCGCTGGTACAAGGACCCAAGGACTCCTTGAGTCGTCCTATGCTGATTTCCCAGGCCATAGCAGAGAACGGGATCAGAAATGGAGCAGCTGGGCCTCGAACTGGCGCGCATATGGGATTCCAACACTAAGGGCAGGGCTTTAATCTACTGTGCCACAGTGCAGGTTCTGAGTCTCTAGATTTTAACTGAAGTTGAATGCTGATTCATAGGGCATTCTTTTAGAATTTCACAGGAAGCCAGGTGAGTCTGCACTCCATCGTAGAAATTTATAATCCTATAAGGAGTTACTGAGTGCTTTTGCTTTCTTCATCCATTTCCTTACATTATCTTTAACACTTGGTATTTTCAGACTTCTTAATGTTTATTAACCTCATAATTTCTCATTTTAATATGTATCTCCCTGATTACTTAATAAGGTAAATCATGTTTTCCTGTGCTTATTAGCTGTTCGGCTTTTTTCTTACTTGTATTTTAGATTCTTAATCTTGATTCTTTTTTCACTATTGTTTATATTGAAAATTTTCTTCTCTATTTAAAACAATAGAAATTTATTGTGTCAGAGTTCTAGAGTCCAAAAGTCCACATTTGAAGTGTGAGCAGGGCCAGAGTGCCTCTGAAACCTGAAGGAAAGGCCCCTCCTTGCCCCGCCAGCTCCCTATGGCTTGTGGGCTGTCTGTGGTGCACCATGGTGTGGTGTGGTTTTACCTCTGTTACCTTATGCTACCTTCCCAGGATCAGCCTTGTCCCAACAGTTTCGAAGAATTATTCATAATCATCACTGTCAGTCTGTCTGGAGTTTATTTTATGAGCTGAGGGAAGCAGAGAAGTGTTTTCTTTTGTTTTTAAGCATGGTAAATTGTATCAGTACCTTTTGTTGAGTTCACTGTTGCTTCGTGATTTGTAATGCCCTTTCTGCCATAACTCAAGGTCCTCAATATACCTAGGTCTGCTTCTGGACTCTTTATTCTTCTTTATTCTGCAGATTTGGTTGTCCTGTGCAAACTCTATATTATTATAACTTATTAAAGAACTGATAAGACAAATTACGTATGAACTTTATTTTTTTATTTCTTTAAATTTCTTTATTTATTTATTATTTTTTGACAGGCAGAGTGGACAGTGAGAGAGAGAGACAGAGAGAAAGGTCTTCCTTTGCCATTGGTTCACCCTCCAATGGCCGCCATGGCTGGCGCGCTGTGGCCGGCGCACCATGGCCGGCGCACTGTGCTGATCCGATGGCAGGAGCCAGGTGCTTATCCTGGTTTCCCATGGGGTGCAGGGCCCAAGGACTTGGGCCATCCTCCACTGCACTCCCGGGCCACAGCAGAGAGCTGGCCTGGAAGAGGGGCAACCGGGACAGAATCTGGCGCCCCGACCGGGATTAGAACCCAGTGTGCCCGCGCTGCAAGGCGGAGGATTAGCCTAGTGAGCTGCCAGAGTTACAGAGAGAGAGCATCTTCTATCTTCTGGTTCACTCTCTAGATGGCTGCCACTGTCAGGGCTGAGCCAGATGCCTCATCCAAGTCTCCCACATGGGTAGCAGAGGCCGAAGCACTCAGGCCATCCTTCGTTGCTTTCCCAGGCCATAGCAGGGAGCTGGATCAAAAGTGGAGCAGTCAGTACTCATGCCCATATAGGATGCTGGCATTGCCTGTGGCATTGTTACCTGCTACACTGCAACACTAGCTCCTGAACTTTTTTTTTTTTTTTTTTTTTTTTTTTTGACAGGCAGAGTGGACAGTGAGAGAGACAGAGAGAAAGGTCTTCCTTTGCCGTTGGTTCACCCTCCAATGGCCGCCACGGCTGGCGCACCGCGCTGATCCGAAGCCAGGAGCCAGGTGCTTCTCCTGGTCTCCCATGCAGGTGCAGGGCCCAAGCACTTGGGCCATCCTCCACTGCACTCCCGGGCCATAGCAGAGAGCTGGCCTGGAAGAGGGGCGACCAGGACAGAATCTGGCGCCCTGACCGGGACTAGAACCTGGTGTGCCAGTGCCGCTAGGCAGAGGTTTAGCCTAGTGAACTGCGGCACCGGCCGAACTTTTTTTAATATATAGTTTTGTGTCTCCAGCAGAGCAAGTTTTTCCTGACTGTATAACGTAAACATAGTAACCTGGAAGGTTTGGGGTTTTTCTTCCTAATGTTGCATGATTTTGCCATTGATAGATACATCATTACTTATTTGGCCTGTAATAACTCTGTTATTGAGATAATGCTTCTCAAGTTATAACTGGAGATGCTGTATGTTATAATCCAGCAAACTGTCTCTACCCTGTTCAAAGAGCACGATTGGAAAAGCCTGTTCCTGGGATAGTGCAGAGCTCTTGGTTTTTAGGGCTTTCCCTACAGGACACTATGAGGGGGTGGCAAAGCACATGTGTGGCTCTTGGTTTGCAGCTGCAGCAACTCTCTGCTTCCCACTACTGGTGAATGTGTGGGTCTGCAAGTGGGTTCCTTTTGGAATAGGGCATTCTGAAAGAACCACTATTTTTGTTCTGTCAATCATATTTATAAAAGGATTTTAAATAGGATGCTACCTGGGGCCACCGCTGTGGCACAGCTGGTTAACACCCTGGCCTAAAGCGCCGGCATCCCATATGGGTGCCAGTTTGGGACCTGGCTGTTCCACTTCCAGTCCAGCTCTCTGCTATGGCCTGGGAAAGCAGTAGAAGATGGCCCAAGTCCTTGGGCCCCTGCACCTGCATGGGAGACCTGGAAGAACCTCCTGGCTCCTAGCTTCGGAT